TGGGCCACATGTAGCTGGGCCACACGCAGCCGGCCCCACAGGCCGTCAGCTGCTGCTTTTTGTTCGTACTGGGGCCCAGCCCCAAATTGGGTGGGTAAAGGGCCCGGAACAAGGAGGCCTGGACTGCGACCTGGAGCCCCTGGAAGGCTGAGCCCCGGACAGGAGGAGGCGGAGCCTGTGTGCCACTGGCCCAGCATGGCCATCGCCCCACAGCTCTACTGGTCAAAGCCTGGCTCAGGCAGACCCACCTTCTCACCCATCAAAGGAGGGGGGTGGCCAATCGGAGGGGTCCCTTCCACCTAGAACATTCCCTGAGGGGGCCCCACACACTCCGCCCACCTCTTGCTCCTCTCTCCATGCCTTGGGTCCCCCTGACACGCAGCCCACGGGCTGCACTGCACCACATCCAGTGCTCAGCCCCTGTGCAGCCACCTGGCCCTTTAAATACAGTTCCACATGTTGTGACCCAACCATAAAATTATTTTCGTTGCTACTTCATAACTGTAATGTTGCTACTGTTATGAATCATAATGTAAATATCTGATATGCAGGATGGTCTTAGGCGACCCCTGTGAAAGGGTCGTTAAACTGCAAAAGGGGTCGCGACCCACAGGTTGAGAACCGCTGTAGCTGTCCCAGGAAGGAGCCTGGCAGTGCCTCCTGCCTGTACTGCCCGGGCTGAGGAAGGTGAGCAGGCTCAGGATAGGGGTCTTGGGCACATGCCTTACTGGACCCATCCTCCTGGGCCCAACAGACTGGTCAGATGCCACCTCCAAGAAGCCTTCCCTGATAGCACCCCTCAGGCCCTGTCTGCCCAAAATTCCCGTCCATGGGATGACCTTTCCTCTCTGGACGGTGGAGCCCTTTAGGGTGGAACTGCCTCGTTTCACATCGATTCAGCACATATCACACGAGGAGAAGAGCTCAGGTCTCCAGAGCTCAGCTGGGACCTCCACCCACCCGAGGACATGCACATTCAGGTCCCAGTGGCCCCCAACCCTCCCCCAACAGGCCAGGACCATCACTGTGGGGACCTGCTCACACACGGGTCACTGTGGTCTGAACTCACCCTTCAGGCCACCCTAGTTAGACCCAAGTGTCCCCCTCCTGCCCCTGCTGGGGGCACTCACCCCTGCAGCACCCCCTCTGCTGTCGGCGGCCACCGCAGGCTCCTCAAAACTGGCACTCGTCGTCTGAAAGGGACAGAGACAATTGGCAGAGGAGGCTCGGCCACATGCCAAAGTCCAGGGCAGCATTGGGATCAGCCCAGACCTGCACCTGACTATCAGCCCCGCAGTGAGCAGCCCTGGTCCCAGCTCCTCCCTCAGGTGTCCTTGTAGAGAGCTCTGCACCTGCCCATTTTCTTTCAAAATAATCCAGAAAGCAGAAAAAAGCGAGTGGATTTAATGCAAATATTAAGTAGATAGTGAGGTGGCCTGCAGGCCGAAGTTTGGCCGCAGAAAAGGGTGCCACCTGGCGCCTGGGTCTCGGGGCTGCTGGCCAGGCTGGCGGGGCACCCAGCAGCTTCAGGACACCCAGTGGGCAGCCTCACTCTGAAGCCCAGACAGAGGCCGTGCCGAAGCCCCAGGTGGCCCCCAAGGGACAAGGGGTGGCTACAGCCCTGACCCCACCGCCAGGCCCAGGCGGCCTGTGTGGGACAGTGAGCAGCCCACAGTGCTGCCTCCCGCTGCGGCCCCACCGGGGCCACCTGGCCTGGAGGCACAGTGGTCCCGGAGGTACTCGGTAGAGAGTGGGCAGATGTCAGCTGTCCACCAGCCCTGGCCCTGGGCATGAGGATAACTCCGGATGGGGGCAGCCTCCCTTCCTGATGCCAGCCCTACGCGTAGGCTGGGCAGTGTGCTGGGCACTGGCTCCCGCAGCCACATGCCCACCCAGGCGCCTCCCGCACAGCCCCCGGCTCGGGCACTCACAGGGGGCTCTGGAGTCTGGGAGGGGTCCTCGTCTTGGCTGAAGGCGGCGCTGAAGGCCTTGAAGGTCTGGCTGTTCTGTTTGTGCTTCGAGATGGTGGCTTCAATGACCTGGAGCAGGCAGGGCACAGGCCTCAGCGGTGCCCACAGTGTCCTGTGCGCCCACGTCCCCTGACCCTGCACACGGGAGGCGCCCCCTGACAGGAGGAAGTGAGGCCCTGGGACGTGACCTACAGCAGCCGGGCCTTCCACCCGCACTGTCCGGTGCCACAGTGCAGCGGGCTCCTCGCGTGGTGCTCCCAGCCCCGGATGTTCTCTGTGGGCGTGAGGCCTGTTCCCTTTCCTACAGTCCATTTCCACTTGATCTCTGACTTGCCTTCTCTCCCACCCAGATACTCTTCTACGCATTTTGGAAGCCACAGTCTCTAACAATTAGCGTTTGGCCTGGCCTGGCCACTCCGGGCTCCCTGTGCTGCCCCGGCTCTGCCCACCTCCCAGCCATCGCCCCTGGAAGCACAGGCCCCACCCTGTGAGCCCCACCCCTCGTCCTGCCCTGCCTGACAGGCCATGGAGAGGGCAGTGTGGCCCCTCCCCAGAGCCAGCAGACAGCAGACGTCCACCCCCAGGGGAGGGCACCTCCCTGATGCCCACCTCCAGGCACACCCAGGGCACGGGGCAGGCGGATGTATGTTTTTCATTGATTTCAGAGAGGAAGAGAGAGGGAGAGGGAGAGAAAAACATCCATGATGAGAGAGAATCATTGGTCAGCTGCCTCCTGCACGCCCCACATTGGGGATGGAGCCCGCAACCTGGGATGTATCCTGACCGGGAATGGAATCATGACCTCCTGGTTCATAGTTGATGCTCAACCACGGAGCCATGCTGGCCAGCTCTTTATGTTTCTCTATTTACCGGGGTCCAAGCAAGCACATTGAAAGGCTCATGGTGTCTAAAGGTGCTTATGAACTTGGTCACTCCACCACTTCAAGGCAGACAGGTAGGGCACGGCCTGGGGCTACTCAAGCCTTTGTTCCAACAGGAAATGGCCATACTGCTCAAGAATTAGGTGACTTTAGGAGCTTCACCTGAATCCATTCTTTCTTCTCCTCTTCCGTCCTAGGAGAAACAGAAACAGGTTTTATGACTTCAGCTTTGGATCCTGAGTAACCGCCTGATTCCTCCCCACCCTGCCACCATGCCCGAGCCGCGCACTGTCTCCAAGGGCAGTTTCAGACCCAGAAGACGGCCCACAGGGCTCCAGGCCACCGGCCAGAGGGGGTCAGGTGCAGCCAGGTGGGGTCAGGTGTGAACAGGTGGGGTCAATTGTGTCCAGATAGGGTCAGGTAGAGTCACGTGGGTCCGATGGGGTCACGTGTGACCAGGTGGGGTCAGGGATAGTCACATGGATCACATAGGGTGAGGAGTGGCTGGGGTGGGCAGGTGTGGAGTGCAGAGGCCTCTGCAGTGGAGGCGAGGCAATGCCTCCTGGACACAGTGGATTATCCCCAAGGCCCTGGGTGGGAGGAAGGGTCTCCCACACTTTGTCACCAGTCAGAGCACAGCCTGGCACGGCCCTCCACAGTGGTGTGATAACAGCTACCGGCCCCGAAAGCAGACGTGCTGCCTTATGGCCCACAGTTCTGTGTCAGGAGCCCACCTGGCAGGCCTAGCGCACCTGCACCTCACCTGGGGCAGGTGCTGTGGCCAGACCCCGTGGAGCCTGGGGCCCGCCAGAGAGCCAGTCAGTGACCATTGGGAAGCATTACGTGCTTTAGGAAAGGTGCTCTGACTGAGATGATTTCTGATAAATTAAGTGAAAAAGGCAAGATGCAGAACAGGCTATACAGTAAACAGCCATCTGTGACTTTAAAAGTAGATACACGTGTGTGAGCACAGAGACCCTGTGGGCGTGTGAGGGGTGGGAAGGGTGCCCCCTGGGGAGGGGTGGGGAGAGGGCTTATCCTGCATGGACTCCCCTCATTCAGGTACGGCCTAAACCACAAATAAATGAATAAATAGAAACACACGGCAAGGTGGTCTGGTTTAGAAAGAGAAGCCGCCGGCCAAAATTCCCGGCCAAGAACTGAGTTCACACGGCAGCGAAGGCTGCGCAGCTGAGCCTACCGGGCGCGCAGCTCCAGGGCCCGGCTCCTTCCCGTGAGGGTGAACGTGGGGGCTGCTGGCGGCTTGCTGGTGTCCTGCACCTACAGGACCACCGAGGACAGAACGGAGCAGTCACCGAGGGCCTGCACTCACCCCGCTCTCCCCCACGGAGGCCTTCTGAGGGGGCGCCCTCGGGGTCCCATGAGCGAAGGCTGCCACGGGCAGGTCT